TATCACCCAACAATTAAAGAGGCTTCCCTGGGAGTGAGCACTTTTCTCTTTATCCCATGGATCCTGGAGGTACCTACACCTACTGGAATGACCCTGACAGTAATGCTGTTATGGAAACGGCATTGTGAGAGACTACTAGGAGACGTGTTAGGGCTCCTTGCAATGCTGAGTCTGCTGACCTGCTAACTATTCCCCTTTCTATGCCCAAGTCTGACAAATTCTGTAACTACCTGGTCTCCCTGTGAGCAGGAGGTTACTGGTGTGTGTGTGCGCATATGCGCACACACACGCAACAGGTCTCATTGAGATGTTGGTAGTTCTCTATCTTTGTTATTTTAGCATGTGCATTGGAAGTCAAGCTTAATCAATTTATATGTCTACTTTGAAACTGGGAGCAGCCACTCCCCATCCCATCTGCTTTTCATTATTTTCTATAGCCCGTATTTCAGGGTTTTGAAGAGCAAAATAAATAATACAGCATTAATTCTGTAATGAATAATAAAGTAGTTCCAGAGGCTACTTTTAAAGCAGTTCCAGAGGCTGTTTAACCCTATAAAGAAAAATAATTCCTATATGATAACTTAAAGTTATTTTTATTGATTCCGTCACAATCCTCTCAGTGCCCAAATCGCTCCCAAATCGAAGACTGACTGACTAACAAGCCTATAAAGTTTAATGTGAACAGCTTCACAAGCCTGCCCTGTTGATGGTCTGGTGGCTGCCTTCTCACAGAAGCTGCTGCTGGGAAGAAGGATCATCTATGTGTTGTTGAAACACTTTCTACTATCTTGACTATGGAAAGAATACTTGATTAGGAAAAACAATACCAAATATCTAGGGAATATTTAACTCAATTCTGTCAGTGGTGAAATTTTTGCAAAATCTTTTAATTTCCTAGACCTAAGTTTCCTCAGCTCACAGTGAGGGCAATGACAACCGAAGTGCTTACTTCACATAGTTGAGTGCAAGATCAAATTAAACAAGTGGAAAGTGCTGGAAAGAGTAAAGTTCCTTATAAGGTTATCACTGTCATTTCTTTGCTACTTGAGTTGTCTCTATCAGAAAACACAGCCCAAATTCCAAACAATAAGCTAGGGTCTGGAATGGTGAGACCTGAATTTTAGTTGTTCAGACCAGGATCTGAAGCTTCATGCTGATTTGGTTCATTCCGCTGCTTCTTAAGCCTTAGGGAGATATGAAAACATATCTTTGAAAATAATTATTTCCTACTTTGGGAAACTGATGTCACTGCTACAGGAAATCAAAGATAATGGAAGCTGAAGTAACTGGAAGGAAAAAAAAAAAGAATCATCACTCCTGGGTGGTGATAAGGAGAGGAGAGATTATCCTGGGATGGAGTCAGTTGCCACAATAACCTCTGGGGCTCAAAACCCATGAAATTCGAACAGGCTCATTGACTCCACTACTCAAAGCCAGAGAATATGTGGTAAATGGTTCTGGGACTGTAATAAGGTTTGCCTTATACGCAAAGTTCCAGAAGCTATTTTATAAAGTGCAATGCAGACTTCTGAGGAACAAGGAAAATACACATTTCCTTATTCCTCAAAGTGCAACTAAAACCCCTAGACATATATAAAACAATTATAAGCATACTCTGGAAGGGGAAGAAAAGACAGCAAACTTGGGACCTTGGGACCCAAGGAATGATATGGTGGTAAGTTCCATATTTTGTTTTGGCCTTACAACTCTAGATTTGAAGCCAAAGAAGTTGGCTACCTGGAAATGTCAAAGGGTACAGACAAAACAAAAAGCACCAACACAAGCGTGTTATCTCTAGCAAGGATCAGGAAAGGGATAGGTTAATAACACATAAAATGTTAATACAATACCCATCATACTTCAGTCCAATGACACAGATAACTGTGGCTCACCACTTGCATTCCAGTGAACCAAGTGGGGAGCCTTTGTCAGGCTGTAACAAAACACCCATTCCCCTGCTAGGGTGGTGAGAAAAAGTCAAGTGGGGAACCAGGATTGTCATCCCTGACAGGTAATAAAAATAAGGCTCCCCACCTGTGGTGTCAGCTAAGGCAGTATGGGAGCAGAACTTCTGTTTCTGCCAACAATAATGAGAAACAACTGCTTGGTATCAATGAAGGCAGAGTGTGAACATGAACTTCTACTCCCATCTGGTAGTACCAAGTTTCAACTATAAGTGGGGTGTCAGAGGTAGTCAGATGAACAGAAAGTTTAAGTGAGCTCTAGATTTTCACAATACCCTAAATGTCCAGGTTTCAATAAAAAGAAATCACTTATAATACCAACAACCAGGAATATCTCAAACTAAGTGAAAAAGACAATTAACAGATGTCAACACTGAGATGACAAGAGATTTTAGAATTATCTGACACAAGAATTTAAAGCAGTGATCAGTGAGCAAGTCTAGACATGTTTACATAAAAGAAAAAGAAAGTTTCAGCAAAGGAATTATGATCCAAAGAAGAACCAAAAGGAAATTTTAGATTTTAAAAAAATGTAATAACCAAAAAACGAAACAAAAGAACAGCAAAAAAACTTTCATGGACAAACTCAAGAGCAGAATGGAGGACAAAGAGAAAATAATCAATGAACCTGAAAATAGAAAAGAAGGAATGAGCCAATGTGAACAACAGAGAGAAACAGCACACAGCAGGTGGTGTCTTGACATCATGTGCTCCGGACCTGCACCTCTCCTGGCCCTTTGTTGGAGACAACACGCCTCAGCGGACTACACCAAAAGAACAAACCTAGAGATTCAAGACACTGAGCAAACTACAAAAAGGCTGACTTCAAAGAAATCCACAGAAAAGATATCATAGTTAAAATTCTGAAAACTGAAGACAATGAAAAAAAATCTTGAAAGCACCAAGAAAGAAAAGATACCTTAAGACGAAGAACAATAGTAAACAAGACTACGTGCTGTTGGCAGAGGGATAGACAACAGACAATGGAACAGAAGAGAGATACAGAAATAGAGTCACACAAATATGCTCAACTAATTTTCAACAAAGATGCAAAAGCAATTCAGAAGAGGAAAGATAACATCAAAGAAACAAATGGTTCTAGAGTAACTAGGTTAAAAAAATGATACACGATCTAATTCTTCCCAAGTGTATGAAAATTAACTTAAAATAAACCTTAAGACTTAAATGTAAAACTATAAAACTTTAAAAACAAAACAAAATCTTTCAAAATACATCTAGACAGAGATAATCAATAAATTTATCAAATATCCATAAAAGGAACAATTGATTCATCAAAATGAAAAACTTGTTCTATAAAAGACAATGTGAATAGGATAAAAAATACAAACTAGAGGGTGGTAGAGAATGTGCAAACCACTTATCTGACAAAAGACTAGTATCGGGACAAGTAAAGAACTCAAAAATCAATAGTAAAAAAAGAAAACAATACAATTATAAAATGGGCAAAAGACATGAAGAAACATTTCACTGAAGAAGACAGACAGGCAACTAAGCACACAGTAAGACGCTCAACAGTTTTAGGCGTCAGGACAAGGCAAAGATATCACTACCTACCCATCAGATTGGCTCAATAATAAAAAATAGTGCCAACACCAAAAGAAGTGAGGATGATGAGAGTGTGAAATCACTCATATACTGCTGGCAAGAATATAAAGTAGTAGAGCCACTCTGGAAAACAGCTTTCAGTTTCTGAAAAAAGCTAGCCATGTAGCTACCATATGAATCAGCAGCTACATGCCAGGACATTTATCCCAGAGAAGTGAAATCGTATATTCACACAAAATCTTTATGCAAATGTTAACAGAGGTATTTGTAAAAAACAAAAAGTGGAAACAACCCAGATGTTCCTCAACAGATAAATGGTGAGACACACTCTGGCTCCATACCATGGCCCACTACTCAGGGATAAAAAGGGTTGGATTATTGTTACAGTAACTCCCTGGATCAAGCCCCAGCAAAACCAATTCCCAAAGGTTACGCATCGCAGGATTCTATTTATATAAGTCTTAAAATAATAACATTATAGAAATGAATGGGTTAGTGTTTGCTAAGTATTAAATAGTAGGTGAAGGCAGGAAGGAGGAGAGAACGTGGCTGTAAAACTCTGAGGGCTCTTTGTGGTCAAGGAAGAAAATGGGGCCTCCCTGGTGGCACAAGGGGTTAAGCACCTCACTATGGGGCAATCCGCAGCCTCTGCAGCACCAGTCCGATCCCTGGCAGGCCAGGGAGCAAATGTGGCGCAGCAGATCTCTCCTGACTCGCTTGCTGCTCCCTTCAGCAGTGTATTTCAGTCAGTCTACCTGTTATGTTACTCTGGTGAATCCTCTCACCACCCGCATCTCTGGCCTGTACCCCAGCTCTTGTATGCAAAAATAAACAAATTTTTTTTTTAAAAAAAGGAAGAAAATGTATCTTGTATCTTGACTCTATCAATGTCAGTATCATAATATTGTAGATTATTTTTCAAAATGTTCATAGGGTGGGAAATTGGGTAAAAGGTACATGGGAACATTCTGTATTATATCTTATAATTGCCTTCAAAATTTACGGTTATTTTATTTATTTATTTTTAAAGATTTATTTATTTTTATACAAGAGCTGGGGTACATGCCAGAAGTGTGGGACGGTGAGAGGATTCACCAGAGACAGAGCGGGGAGCAGAGCAGGCACACTGACCAAAGACACTGCTGAGGGCAGCAGTGGGCGCGTCAGCAGAGGTCTGCCACACCATGTGGGATTCTCGTCAGTCGGCAGGGATTGAACCTGTACTGCAGAGGCTGCGGAGAGCTTCACAGCATGGTGCTCAACTTGCTGTGCCACCGGGGAGGCCCTATGGCTATTTTAAAATCAAAAGTTTCATTAGAATAAAAGTGCAATGCAGTCTGTTATGCTGACAACATAATAAACTGTTAGGGAAAATGTAATCGCAGTAATGCAATCAAGTTCCCCAAGATGAGGATTTCTTTCTTGATATCAAAGACCTTGTGGATTACCAATACAGTAAATCTGGCTCACCATTTGTTTCTGGAGGCCATCTAATTTGTCTTCAGCATTGTCTTCTTTATCGATGTTGACTCTAGAAGTAAAAAAAAAAAAAAAAAAGCAAAAGCATTACACCACCTAAGAGCTACTTTGGAAACAGGATGGAAATCCCCAAACTCAAAGGTAACATTAAAAGATCCTTTTCTCCAAGTTCTCAACATCTTGGTTTTGCCAAGGTTATCACCTGTGTGGGCAGGTACCTCCTTCCACTGAGATGTAAGCATGAAACTCATGATCTATTCAGACAAGTTTAGAGGCTCATCACCAATGACACTGCCAGAAAAAAGTTAACTACTAGCCATCAAGAGTTACCTGAATATGTAGTTTTGATGGAAGAATAGACTTGAGAGACTGAAGGTTGTGCAAACCAAGCCAGTCCTCAGAATCACTTACATTTGGTAACAGTCACTTCTTGGAAGGGAACTCTAGAGTGACTGCTCAGAAGGAAGGGGGGTCTCCCTTTACCACCAGATACTACCCTAGCGTTAGTTGCCTTATGCCTTATAGTGAGCTTGCCTGTTGCTGATGCCAATCTAATTTTCATGATTCTATTTAAGACTGACTGAAATATTCCTATTTCAAAGTCAATTTCATCCTTGCTGCTCAGATCCTGGACACAGGAGAACCTACCTTCACTGCTTAACCACACGGAGGAACCCATCCCACAAAAATACAAGCTCTATACACAATACATTCTGCTACCTCAGCCAGGTAGGGTTTTACCTGACCCAGTGAATATATTAGTATCACCAGTCACATGGGCATTTGTTAACATCTCCTTGAAGACATCTTTACTATGTACATACACAAAACACCTCTGAGGCAGAGAACATTATGGTAACTCAAGTGTTCACTAGGGGTTAAGAATAGGTGGAAGAGGCATTTTACCCTTTTCTCGGTTTTGGCAAATAGTTGGGAGCTTCTGGCAGTGCCATGCCCTCATGTCCAACCCTGGCCACAGTCCCAGACAATGGAAAGCAGTATCTGCTACTTTTGGGGAGAAGACTGAGCCAAAAGCTTACCAAACATAAGCTAAGGGATGCAGGTTGTATTTTCCAAATATATATATTTTGGGGAATCACAGCTTTTGACTCTTTGCTTAGCTTTCCACATTTGGGTTGATGAGAACAGTAAATAAAACTCAAAGGATATTCTTCTATTCTTTTTTGTAAACTGCCCATGGATAAAGTCTAATTGCCATAAAGCAATGGCTCCTAAATCCACCTTACTCATGGGTCATGCAATCCTTAAATAATGTTGGAATTTCATCTGAGGAATTTCAAGGTCAGGAATTCTGTACTTGCTATGTGTTGTTCTAACTTTTTGTCAAGTGGGAGAGGTCTGATTTTTCCTTGAGAATCCTCTGACCAGACAAGAGAGAATCCTGGCTGAGGAGTAGGGCAGGATGGTGGGCACTGTGGGGAACCCATGAAGGACAGAAACCGGTATTTGGTACAAAGTGCTCTGAAGTTAAAGAAAAGGTTTGAGGCACATCAGGATGTAACGAAAGCAGCAATCTGGGAAGGTAATTCCAGCAGGACATGGCTTAAAAGGGATGTCAGACTGTGAGGAAGAGATCATCGAGAGCTGCATCTTGTGGAAGGGGACAACAGCTTCATGGCACAGAATGTCCACCTCATGGGGTGGGCCCATGCAGCTCCTCACCTTTCAGGAACTTCTGAGGCCCCATCCGTAGTGCCCTGTTCTGCAGAAAGGGACTTCTCATCTGGCATCCCGACTTTCTCCAGGAAGCAAAGTGCTGGGTCTGCTCGCATGGCATTGTACCTCTCATACCCTGATCGGGGTAATGAGAAGTGTCAGAAGTCATGTCAGAAGTCACAAAATCTGCCTTGGGCCCAATAGTCATTTTGCTTCCCTTATTGAGTAAGAAACAAAAGAAACCAAACAAAAATACTTAAGATTAATCAGATCCTGTAAGATTTCCTATCAGGGGAAGATCCTTGAGCTAAAGTGGACACCGCTAGGCAGTTCTTAATGCAAAATGAAAGCTTGTGCCAATACTCTGTGTCCTCAGAGAGACACAGATATAGCAACAATCCTCACTCTTTCATTTCTTTTGGACAGTAAAGACAACCAGAAATGTTGAATTCAACACTTCTTTACCCTACATCCCAGCTCTGGACACCTTGTTACTTCCTGAATGGGTCTTGCTTTTTTAATGTTTTCTTTCATCCCAGGTATTAGAAATGTGTACAAATGTGTATTTTTTCATTGTTATTGTTGAATCAAATGTAATCTTACAAGACAGGATCATAGAAAACATCCAAATCTATTGTTATGGCATACTACCTTGGGGCAAACTCCTTCATAATCGTGAAAACCCTTTCCATGTTGCTACCATTAAATAAAGTCAATTTCCTGCCCTGTAGTATGTACAGAGACACCCCATCACCAGTGATGGAGGATGCAGCAGGAGAAGCAGTCTGGTTGCTAGTAACCAACTTGACTTGACTTTGTTGGGTATTTTATTGCTATATTGGTTTTTATTCTAATATCATGTTGATGCAGTTCAATCCCTTCACTCTGTTGGCAGCATGCGGTATTTCTGTCTGGGGAGCTACAGGTATGTCATCTTTTAATTCAAAGTGATTTTCTTATCATCTCCGTGACCGGTGCTGCATGCATGGGGCACATGGCAAGAGAAACTGTAGTGCCTTATGTTTTTCTTTATTCACTTATTCCTTAGGGCGATTATTTGATAACTGCAATGAGGCTATGGGCTCCCTAGGAATAGAATCTGTGTCTGCTTTTACTAATAATTTCATGGTCGGTACCTGGCACAGGCTGGACACCATACAGATTTGACAGCTGACTGGATGTCAGTTCTGCCCACTTCTTCCAATAATCACCGTAGGAAGAAGTACTCTCGTTCTCTCCCCATGCTCTGCCTCAGCTCACATCAAATCAGAAATTTTCTCAATGTTCCTGCTGTCTTGAGAACATTTTTGCTGTTGTTTCCACCTGTCCCTCCTCATAAAAAGAGGGCTGCTTTGCCTGAAAGCTGAAGTTTCTTCGATGGACCCATTACTACTAGGGAGGTTACCTACCCATGAGTGACCTGCCCTCGTTTGCTCTGTGTCTGACAGGGCATGGATCAAGTTGGGTTGCTCCACGTGCCTACTACCTCGGTACATTTCTACTCTTCAGCTTACTCCTGCCATGTGTGGGTCTGAAGTCTAGACAGATTTGTCTTTCTCACTCAGCTGTGGATCTGGAGGTGAGGAAGAGTGATTGATTTGGTTCCCTAGAAAGCCCTAACAACTGTCCTGAAAAGAGGGCAGTAGGAACTGTGATAGCACTGTGAAGAAATAAGCAGTAAAATGACAGGCCTTCGCGGGGGTGTAGGCTGCTTGCCTCTTCATTTAGTGCAAATGTTCCTCTCTGAGAATAAGAATAGAAATACTGAAATTCATATCTTCATGAAAATTTCATAACTCCAAGTTGCCCTATAGGGGTGACAGTCATTTAGTGCAATTGAGAGCTGTCAAGAGCATTATTCAGAACAGGTTTGCTACAGGCCGTTCTTGCTACAAGTTGAAGCCCCCAAGATGAAGCTAATTCTTCCAAGTCAGCCCAGAGGTGGAAGCACTGCTGTATTTTTTTGATCTAAGCAGCTTTGTGACAGACTATGTTTGAGGTGGACAAGAAGATTCACAAAACCTCAATGAAAAGTTGTGCATCTCATAACCAAGAAAATGGTTGCAGCACTACAGCGCTTAATAATGTCTCTAAGCATGGAAAAGAGAGAGGGGGCTTCCTGATAGATTCAGGCAGGATCTAATTTGGACTCTGGAAGACTCCAAGGAAGACAGATTCAAGAGGTCAACTACAGGCATCTGTCCAATCTAGTCCTAAGTTGACAACGTTACTACCCAACTAGGCTAATACGACATTATCCAAGAGTGAGCCAGTCTGCAGGTGTAGCTTCATTCGTAACAGCAGAATCCAAGATTTGAGGGGATTCTGTAAAATATGTATAGCATGGTTGTTCAAGAATTGCTATTTGCAGAGCATGTGTTAAAGTTAACCTTCCAAAAGCAGAGCAATAAGTCAAAGTAGAACAGACGGTGAATAGCATCAAACATCTATTCAGCACCAAGCACAATTCTAAGCAGTTTACATATGGTATCTCGATTAATTTTCAAACAACCTTCCAGGCAGGTTGTTTTTATACTATTCTCCCCCATGGAGCCGGTGAGGAAAACTGTAAGTTCATGATGTGAGTAAGTTCATGATGTAAGTTCATGATGTGAGCTGACAGCAAAAGACAGATATTCCTAATTTTTCTTTAAACCTTGATCTCCAATTGAGAACTGGAGGAAAGATGTGCATCAGCCACACTACAATGACTGTCATCTGGCCCTTTGCTATTAATTGTAATAGGTGGCTGAAAGCAAGGGCAGGGGTTTAGAACAGAAATAGATGTGAAGAAAATGGGCACTTATTTCCCGCTACTCAAGAAGCTCTAAGTTCCCTTTAGTTCTTGACTCCCATAATTTAAAAAAAAAAAAAAAAAAAAAAAAAAAGGTGAGAAAATTGTTGTTCTTTTATCCTTAAATTTTTATAACAATTGGACAAAAGATGCACACTAAAATAACCTTAGAGTCAAATATACATGAAATGTTAAAACCCTTATTTACTTATTTCTTTACTCAAGAAACACTGGTGCCTACTATGCGTAGGCACTACGACAACACAGGGCCTATAGAGTGCAGCAGACCCAGGTCCCACTCCCAGACAGGCCAGCGAGGAAGATACACAATGAACAAGTTCTTTGCAGCCACAGTCACCCTCCCTTTTGAAGTTCTTCAATGACATTAGCTTTTATCACATTCATGGCTACCATATTCATCTGGTCAAAATTCTAAGAGGGCAGAGGTAAGGCTCTACTTTTTAACAGAGACATGCAACAGAATTATGGAGATTTTCAGGAAAGGAAAAAGCACAAGGAATTACACACCATGTTTGAACACACCAATCAGAAGGGATTTATCGGCCTCAGCATCCCACCAATCCACTGGGATCTCCACATAGTCGATGTCGGGCAGAGGCACTTCCAGGTCCCTGTGGGAAAAAGGGCATTAACTCAATTTCTTCAACACAGCAGACACACAGAGCTACTGCTCAAACCCTGGCACTAAGCTACATCCCTCACTGCATACTTAGATGCTGAAATAACGGAAGGATTCAGAAGACTGGGGCCACAGGTCCTTAACCAGAGCTTTGCAGCACCCAGAAAGCTATTTCCTCATATGTACTTGACTCCAGGCTGCCCCCCAGATTGACTGGCACAGACTTTCGAAGCACCTCTTGGAGAACTCACTGACAGTCAGTCTGAAGGGGTCTTGGGATCTACTGTATAAAGTAGCTCTGATATGCATCTTCAGTTAAGAATTCAGAAAAAAAAAAAAAATCATCATTTGAAGTTGAAATACCTCCCAAATGGTTGAATTAATACTTAATCAAATGTTGAACAGTGCCCAAATTACCTTGGATCAACATGTAGAGATCTCAGGCACTGAGAACAAGACTGCCCGCCATGGCACATGTGGGGCTCTGAAGAGAGCCTTGTGGAGGACAGGAGGCACCTCCCGCCAGTGGTCTGCTAATGGTGTGCTGGGTCAAAACTGACACAACTTGTGTTACTCCTGGCCAAAGAGTGAGTATCATTTGCCATGGGGAGTGAGCATGCAGGGATTGGCAGGCTTGTGCCAGCAGCCCCAGTATGAGTTTCTGGTCAAGTTCTGAGAGCTGACATCGATCCTTAACAAGTGTGTGAAGTCTGACCACAATCCTTACTCTTTGAAGGCTTTGGGGGAAAACATCGACCTGGAAGGCCCTTCTCTCCCACCACCCAGCTGCCTGGGGTGATTTCTCTGCAGCATTTGAACTTTCTTCTTTGATTAGGCTCTTCTTCTTGTGACACAGAGCTAACGGCCGTTTGCCAGGCCCAGCTACCTCTGTGAAGATGGAGTTGCCGGGCAGCACTCCCTATCTCGCTTCACTGCGGGGCTCACTGCAGTGACTTTTCTTGGATGAATTGTTATTCATTCCTCACGGCAGCTTCTCCACAATTAAGCGTTAAACCCGAACAGGACTGGTGAGAGCCAGGACTGAGGAAAAGAAGGAAGAAGGCGGGCAATGGACTAACCCTCTCCAAGTTCTACCTAGCTTTCATCCATCTACAGATCTAAGAAAACACATGACAGGGGAATGATTAAGTTCAGGTAGATTACTTCTACCAGGTAACAGGTTGAATTCAAAACAGTATTTCAGATTTTAAGTAGTGCAGCATTTGGACTTGCAGTTATACAACTTGAACCAAAACACCCAACCTCTCGATCCCTTGTAGAAATGACCACATTAACCACAGAAAGTACATCAATAGTAGTCACTGGGATGACTGATCATTACAAACTGCTGTCAGTGCCCTTCACCTCTCTTCTCTTTCAGGGCTCCTATGCCTCTAAAGCCATTAGCATCTTCCAACAGAAAGAGAAGAAACCATGTTTCCGGGAAATCTCAAACCAAAGTTCAAATGCTAACACTTTTGGTGTCCTCTGCAAATGACAGACACTGTACAGGGACAGAGCAAACTATAGATCTGGGGAAGATGAAAGAGGCTGTCCGGCAATCCCATCTATAAACAGTTACTACCCAACAGCCTGATCAGTGGTTGCTCATTTCTATAGCATTGGAAACATTAACTTACAAAACTTTGATGAAACCAGTCAAACAGGTCACGTGTATTACATATTAATAAACAGGTTAATAAATAAGGGAGGACCATTCAAATGTAAAAGAGCACCAGGACCAAGAACAGGATTCTGAGTAATACTTTCAGTCTATGCCTGTCAGCTCAAGTGCATCAAAGTAATTAACACTCATCTCACAATGACTAGTGGAGTAGAGAAAAAAACTAATCAAAAAAACCTTATCAAAAGCTGTGTTTCTACAACCGTTTTCTTCTTTGTTGCACTAGTGGGAGAAATAGCCTCACTGAAATAGGCTAAAATAGCCTCACTCTATCATCTACGATCCTGGGTGGGATCATGGGCCTCTTGAAGTGCCCGCAGGTTTTCCATTTCTATACACAGTACTTTATGGCAAGGCTCGATGACTGAGAGCTGAGGTTTTACCTTGCAGGAGTTCCCTCAAATGCTTTATCAGCTGCTTCTCCCAGTATTTCAGCTTTTAAGTAGTACAGCATTCGGACTCGCAAAAGCACCCTATGAAAAGTAGACGCATTAATGAAAACACATTAGAACCCATGAGCTGGTCTATGAACTGCCACCCCCAAGCTGATATGGGGAAATTCTGGGCATTACCATGTCCTTAGTTATATGAAGCAATATATGAGAAAACACTAGACAAACAAGGAATTAGGTATCAATGGCAGACGCTATAGTGGTCATCCCAGTTTTATACTAGGAGTGCATCTCATCAGTCATTTGCTGGCTACCTGTGAGTTCCAGGGGCCAGCAGAAACAGACAGCACTCCTCCTGATCCTTGAAAAAGTACTCACCCCTTTCATTTGGCCACAGTGACCTCCTAGGCTTCCAAGAGGCCGGGTAGCAACTCACTAGTTTATTGACAGTGAGCTGAAATTGTGCTGCTTTCACACAGTTTCACTTGTACATAGTAAATGATTATTATAAAAAAAAATACTTTTTCTGGCATTACTGTCAGAGTAATCTTATTTTCTCTCCTGAGGTGCTAAAGTTACTGTCGTTCTGCATGGAACACACTCAGGTTAGCTTGGGAAGCACCAGACATGCCCACAGCACCCGTCACTGTGCATAAGAGTTTTTAATCACAATATTGGGCATGAGACTTATCTTCAAATATTTGAAGGGATCAAGGGTAAGGGTTAGACTTCATCTGTAAAGGAAAAAAACAACCCAACAACCATAGAACCAGTAGGCTGATAGGCGGGGAAAACCTTTAAAGTATTGTAAGTTAGAAGGATAAACTCTCATCAGAGGTGTGCAGAGGACTTCCTTCTGCCTGTCAGGAATGCTGGGGAGGGAAGTCTGCACAGCCTAGGAAGCTGGATTAGATGGTTTCCAAGAGTCTTTTAAATTATGATCAATTCAAAGCACAATGATACAAATATCCACGTGCAAATATGGCACTTTTGTGGCTAAGTGCTCTAACTCCCTGAAACTAAACTTTTACTTTCTAGCACTTTTTTCCTTTGTCTCCACCTGGTTCCTCAATTGCTAACTGACAGATAGAAAGAATATTACTTCAAAGGCATGCCTATCAAATATCCAGAGGCCAGAATGAGAAGAGAAAGCTAAAAAAGGAAGCAACATGGGCAGTGGTGGGAAGGCCAGTCTTCTCTCTTTGCTAATGTAATGTGACCTCACGGGCAAAGAAAGGGAAAGAAAAGGAGTGAACAGTGAAATCACCAGTGTCCTCACTGGATTCTGAGAGTCGGCTCAGAAGAAAGCTCTGGGTACAGACTGCCTTGGTAGAGAGAGCAGATTCTGGGGGAGGAAGAGATGTTATTAAAGAAGTCAGAGAGATGGTGCCTCCTGGTGGCACAAGGGGTTAAAAAGTCTCAGCACTAGCAAGCTATCTCCAGCCACTGGTGGCATGAGTTTGATCCCCAGCCAGGGAGCTGACCCACATGGTGCAGCAGACCTCTCCTGTCTCGCCCGCTGCTCCCCTCAGTAGTGTACTTCTGTCAATTCACCTGTTCTGCTCCCCATTCTGTCTCTGGTGAATCCTCTCACCCCCCATCTCTGGCCTACACCCCAGTTCTTATATGCATAAATAAACAAACATGAATCTTAAAAAAAAAAATAAGAGAAGTCACAGAGGTTTCAATGTGAATGAATGCTGACCCAGTTTAGGCCACGTATCCTTTCTTTCCAGGTCTTGCATGGTAGTACAGCAGTATCAAGTGATCTCCCACAGCTATGGGGGGTCACAGGGTCTGGACAGACTGAGAGGAGCTGCCACCAGGGATGGGGAAGGGAAACACTTACTTGTTGCAGTGCTGTTTGAGGTGTTTCTTGTAGCCGTCATCATGCAAGACTACCTCAGGGTTGCAGGTGGCCAGCCAGTCAGCATTCTTTAACTCAGGGAGCAGCAGCTGGTTCTTTGTCTTCTTCCCCTTCCTCCCTCTGGGGACTGGAGCAGACAATCCTGACACAGAAAGGCATTTTGGGACAGGTGGATAAGCCCACTGGTAAGCCCACTCTGCTGAGACAGAGCTGGCTCGGGGCTGCAAAGACACAGCTAGGCTTTGGTGATGGTGAGATGTGCCTAGTACCCTGCGCAGGACCATTCAGGACCATTCAGTCAGGGAGTAGCAATTTACACTGTGAGGGGCAAGAAAGGTATACCTGTATCTTTCAGGAACTTAGATCTCACCCAGGGAAAAAGGAAAACTTGGTCTGAAATCTGAAGGTGGACCACTGCCAAGCACAAGGAAGGAGAGGCACAGTACACACACATACGAAAAGGCCCAGAGAGGTAGAACTGGGACAGAATGGAGAAAAGCAAAATATGAACCACAGAGCCCATGGTTTGAGCCTCCAATTCAGAGTAGGACCCTCTGTGATGCTGAGGTTAGTAGGGAGGATAGGAATGTGGGAAACCTCAAAAGGGCCCAACTGTACTTAAAATACTACACATAACACTGGATGATTCTGAGGGAGAACTACAAGTATCGCCATCCTTTCCCACAGGGAACACTATGAAATATATCTGAGAAATGGAAGTTCTCCAAAGCATAGCAACATGGACCAACACAGGAAAAGGGATGCAAATGCACAGAACTTTGTGCTTCTCAGACATGGGCTCACCTGAGTGGTTCTGGAGGGTCTGGGCCTGCCCATCCTTGGTAGGTGTGATCAATTCCCAAATGAAACTCTTGATCTTCTCATCCCCCTTGTAATGTTTGACACAGTACACCAGCAGGGCACGGCAAATCATCTCCATGTCCTTCTCATTCAGATGCCACTTGAATCGTCCATGAGTCAGGATGTCCTTCCAGCGGCCCCAGCTGACAGTGGAAACAGAGAAAGGCTTTAAAAGTGGAAGGACTATGCATGCCCTCAACACTGCTGGACAAGAAGCCACAAGTCCTTTTCATTCCCTGTTGGGTCTATTAATCTCTCTCAGGACTTTGTTCTGAAGGACCTTTGAAGACAGCATGCTAGAGCATGCTGAATGTCACTAAGGTGACACGGACAGTAAAATGTTAAGAAGGGAGGGCTGAAAATATCTGGAGCAGGGAATACATTTGGAAGTAAAACAAAGTCCAGCCGCAGTATTCAAAAGCAATGGTGAACTCCCAGAAGCTAAGCCTTCTATTTCTACCACAGCCAGAGCCCTACACAAATCATGCCTTAACTTTAACATCTGTTGCATATCCTTGGGGGACAAATGCAGGAAATCAGTACCAGGCAGCAAATTAGTAACAGAGATTTGCTATGACAAGCATATGAGAAAACCACAGCGCATCTATAACATGGCAGCAGAGTGCACACTGACTGTGGGGGAGGGGTTGTGGGTAGACAGCACAGTTCTCTCCTGCTCTAACAGATCCTCCATCACTCCGGGGGGATCAGAGAGACAGACTGAACCAATCTCAGGGCTGAAAAGAAGAGGGGAAAAACAACAAATAGGCAAAGCCAATACCCACCCAAAGATGAGTAGGTTCTTTTCTACCCGGAAACATTCAGCTCGGAGGTAGCGCCTGGTTTTGTCATTGAGGCGCCTGGACCTCGTGGGCCTTTCATCAGAGTCGCTGTCTAACTCTGAAAACTCCATGAGCTCATCTTCCTCAAAGGAGTTGTAATGTTTGGTCTGCTTTCGCACGCGAGGCCGGTCGATCACTAAGCTTTCCTAGAAATAAAGAGAACTGTTGGGGAGAAAGCCAGTCTTCTCTCCACCCCCATCCAATGCACAAGACTATCCTCCTGGTATTTCTCAGGGTAGATTTGGGAAATAACTGCACCCTGGTCTCATTCTCCAGCAGGAAAGGTTCTCCTAGCACACCTGCTGTGTCCACACAACCAGAGGGAATTCTCTGGGACTTGCTGTAGCTGGCATGCTCCCCAGCCCCCAGTGCTGTCGGCTACCATATGCTGTTTCTGCAGTCATTCGAACGCGTATGGGCAGGCAAGGCCCCCCAGTGCTGAGTGGCAGTCTGCTCTTGCCAAGAAAGACTGGTGTGGTCGTCCCAGCTGCTCTGCCAGCATGCAGAGGCAGTCTGCGTGCTGGAGACAGGATGAGCTACACAATTCCATCTGCTCAGCAACTTTCTGAAGGCAAACACACATTCCTGCTGCTTCATTTTTTGCTTTCCACTGGCACTAGCTACTAATCTTTTGTCTTTCACTGAAAACATCATCCCCAGCTTAGGAACCTATTGGTGACTCCCCTGGCTACACACATCACTGCTTTTCTAGTCTCCATCATTTCATGCTCCCTTCCCCTTATACCTCTTCCCAAAGCTCAGCTAAGCTTCTGAATTCTCTCTGAAACCCAGATAAATTTCTAGAGTCATCCCTGCCTCAACTACCTTGCTACCCCATTTCTTCTTACTGTCTACAAGGCAAGAGCTCTCCCTTCTCTTCATCACTGACCCTCTCCTCCCCCATAACGCCTTGATTGTGACACTAAAACACTTAAGGCAGGTTATTAGAGGGGCTGCAGGAGCTTCCTATTTGGAGAAAAGAGGCTGGATTAAGCAATCTGAGGGTCCTACAGAAGAATAATCATGACTGGGTGCTGGTTACTGAATCTGCTAGATGTAAGCCTGAATTATCGCCTAGGTTTTTGCATACAGGAGAGTTCAACACTCACCCAAGAAGACAGGAAGAGTGATGTGTACTCATTGTGTAGTGAGGTGATAGGATCAGAGATAGAAGGGAGGGAAACCAACATTTCAGAGGCACCTCACAATGGGTGAAGCACTTAAATTCACAAATGTTATCTCCAACTCTGTGACGTGGGCACCACCATCTCTGTTTCTCACATGTCTGTGAGGTTTAAGTACCTTGCCCAAAGGCAGAGGGCCAGGCAGTGGCAGGCCCAGTATCAAACTCTGGTTTCACTCTGAGGCTCTAACTCATGTTCAGAAATAGCAAAATTAAAGATACGGCAAGAATGGAGGTAAAACCAACAAACGATTCTTCCTCATGCTGTTTTCCTCTTCCTGGTACTCAATAGAAATGAAGTTTCTTTCATAGGAAGTATTGAAACAGAGGTAAAATAGTCACATACCAACGATGGATGGTGGCCTGGAACAGAAGGCTGAATTTGACCTGTTGTCTTAATTGCCTCTGTCTAATTTTCTGAATGCCCAGCACACTGGTCATTTTAAAATCATTAGTTAACACTGTCATGTTCGATGTGCCGGGCATGGTTTAAGCCTGTTTTATATGGAGCATCTCATTTAAGAAATAAGGCTCAGAAGCAAATAATGACTTGAGCTGTGTGGGGATTTATCGCCCTATTAAGATGTCTGAAATGTTCAGTGGAATAAATTATTAACTTCGTACCTTTTCATTCTTTGCTTCAGTGTCCAATTCAGCTATTTTAGCCCATTTCTGCCAAAAGTTTGGATCATCTAAGGAAATATCTGTTCTGTTTCCTGAAGCCACAAAGCTAGCCTGTGAAGACAAGAGTCAATACACTGCTTAAACATAGTACATACTAGTAAAACACTTGTGTTATTTCAAATGCATAAGAAACGCAAGGATATTCTCCATTGAAATTAAAACCAAAACTCCAAATAGACTACAAAATGAATGTGAAAATTGCAAAGCTAATTTTTTAAAAATTCTATTCAAAGACCGGGTGAGGAAATTACAATTTCAACCTATAGAATCATTTTTTTGGAACTTAGAAGCAGGAAGACAACCCGTGGAAGACAATAATGATGTTATTTGATGTCTAGTTTCCTAGGAAAGGTTCCTTCTTAAAACTTATCTAGATTTAATTTTTCTTTCAGTTCAGGAGATACCAAATGCTGGCTCTGGGAAGGGGCTGGTTTGGGTAGTATGAGGTGTACAGAGAAGAGTGATGCCTATAAAACACGAAATGCCCTGTGCCACAGTCCTACAGAATCAAGTAGCTTCTGGAGCTCCCTGAGCCTGTGGCCAGGGAAACCCAAGAGGGATCTGATAAGTGCTCTGAGCCACTGAATTCTAAATAGTGACACAGAGAGCAAAGGAAAAAGCCTCTACTAGAAGCTAAGAATCTTGAGACTCATTATCTTTTCTTACAAAGTGGACAGAATACCTGCTTGCATTTGAGTAATGGAGTATTCATTGGAATTTCAACTCTCTGACGTACATCATGGGCATCAAGATGACCATTCAGGGGTTTCAGAGCAGTCCTTGTAAACAGTGAACAGTGCAAACTGTAAATTAAAGTCTACTGCCTGCTGAAGCTCAGCAACTAATGGTTAGAATGATATGTTCTTTCTACAGCTCTGACTCATTACTCAGACTTACTGTAGCTTCAGGGTATCGTGCAGAATAGATGTATAGCAGATAATCTCAATGACATGTATTTAGAGACATGTATTACACACACAATGGTGTGTATCAGAGAAAAGAAGCCTGGCTAATGAGGGACAAAAAATAAACCATTTTCTCCTCACTCCCACTCCGACAAGTACACAGGAGAGAAGGTTCTATACCTTGGCAAAGGTGGACCCTTTCCCTTCAGACTGGATGGTGATGGTGTGGGTTCTCCTCTGCAGAATCTGATCTATGTCTTCTTCACAGAACTTGGAGCCTTCATCTTCCTCATCCATTAAGGCTCCATAAGCACCTTTCCGGAGCAAGTCCTCTACCTCCATTTTTGAGAGCTGCTGTACCTGGACAGGTCACCAAAGGCTAATCACAAAGTAGAAAATGCACAGGAGAAAAACAGCCTCAAGTCTGACCTTTATAACTCACTAACTGCACATGTCAGAAAAACAGACATGGACAAAAAGCTTTAGATAATGAAAACCCAGGTAAAGATGAAGTCAAAGAGAACTATGGGGAGGGCAGGCAGACAATTGCTATTTGAGCTCCGAAATAAAACCCAGCACATGACCCAATGGCCCCAACATTCTTCAGGACATTGGTTATTATCAAAAGTCACAAGTCATTAAAACTATGTACCACTGAAGAGGATATGCTTAATGTTTATTCTATGTTTTAGTTTGAGTTTGCATCTTTAAAAGCCTGCATATGTACCAAATGAGTTAAAGAGTAATGATTTATTCATTATTAAATAAGTACATTAGTATTGGAAATGATGTCATTGCTTAACTTAAAAAAAAAAAAAAGATCCCATGCCAAGTGTGATCTTCTCAATTGCTTGCTGAAAACAGGAAATGGAAGTTCAAAACACCCTTTCCTGGTTCTAATTTCTCTTTACAACAATCACAAGAGGGAATTTCATGAGTCCCAGCACTGCTCATTTGAAATATTATTCTCAGCAACATATGCACAGTGAAGGGGATACAGAACATCTGGACTAAAGACAACTCCTTTGGAAGTCTGTAATTTCCAATCTTTGATGCCCTGAGCCCAGAGATTATGGAGATACTCCATTTTATCTGCCTATACTTTAAAACAATTTAAGGATTTTAGCTGCAACTTTTCTCCCCCTGGGAGAGTATTTTAGCTACTCATTTATTCATTCATTTACTCACTAACCATCAGTTGGATATCTTTAATACACCAAACATGGTTAGAGACCTTGGAGGATACATCTGACAAACTAGGTTCCATTACGCCTTCAGGAACTGCCAAGTCTGATGATAGCAGGTATCTAGAGGTAAGAGTGGTAAGATCTACTAACTTCTTTTTTTTTTTTTTTTATACAGGCATGTTTTATTTATTTATTTATTTATTTTGTTTGTTTGTTTGTTTATACAAGCACTGGGTACAGTCAGAAGCGCGGGAGGGTGAGAGAATTCACCAGAGCCAGAGCGGGGAGCAGAGCAGGCAGAGGGACCGAAGTACACTGCTGAGGAGAGCAGCGGGCGGCAGGAGAGGGCTGCGCGCCATGTGGGACCCTCCTCCAGTGGCCGGGGAGCAGCCGGGGATCGAACCGGCGCCGCGGAGGCCGCGGGCAGCTTCGCAACCCAGCGCTCAACCGCTGCGCCACCAGGGAGGCCCAAGATCTACTAACTTCTAATGGGCACTGTTAAGAACTGCTGACTGAAATGTTACTGCATCTGGGGCATTCCTATATAACTGCTTCTACAGATTCCTTTATCCACCTATAAAATGCAGAGACCTAGCCCTGAATTATCCTCCTACTCAATTACCCAACAAAGCTGTGTAGGCTGACTCAGTGTAGTGAAAGTGAATCTTAAAATAGCTGAAGAGTGGGCCTCCCTGGTGGCGCAGCGGTTGAGCGCTGGGTTGCGAAGCTGCCCGCAGCCTCTGCAGCGCAGGTTCAATCCCCGGCTGCTCCCCGGCCACCGGAGGAGGGTCCCACATGGTGTGCAGACCTCTCCTGCCGCCCACTGCTCCCCTCAGCAGTGTACTTCGGTCCTTCTGCCTGCTCTGCTCCCCGCTCTAGCTCTGGTGAATTCTCTCACCATCCCACGCTTCTGACTGTACCCAGTGCTTGTATAAATAAATAAATCTTGAAAAATAAAATAAAATAAAATAGCTGAAGACTCCAGACCACCCAGGCTGTGTGACAAATGCTTCTTAAGGCTCCAGAGCAGGTACTGTCATACTCACCCCGTTAGTGCCGCCTTTTCGGTTGATGTCCTGAAGAACAGCTTTGTCCAGACCCAGCTTCAGGCTGGCCTTGTCAAACATTTCCCGCTCATAGGAGTTCCGAGTAATGAGCCGGTACACCTTGACAGCTTTGCTCTGGCCTATTCGGTGGCATCGCGCCTGAGCCTGGGAAGGAAGGAGGGTCATACACGTAATGTCACCAGATATAGTGGCAGCAGCCAAAGGAATAGGAAGATGCTGAAATTCCATGTGGGGTGAGCGAATAGCTCTCAGTTGAGTCATGGGACTGATTTTATAGAATTGACCCAAATGAAGGCTGCTCCTTCAAGGTCACTGATTTCCTCACTCATTATTTATTGAGTGACTACTGTGTGATGGGATACAGTGATGAGAAGCACCTGGCTTCCTGCCCTCCCCTCCCCAGCTTGTGGTCTGAGCACACACACATTCCCACAATGCTGTCCTGCTCTCTGGGGCAATGTCTCAGAGCTGGAAGCTCCAGATTTTGTAATTTTTTCATTTTACTATAGAAATTTTCACCTACAGACAAAAGTATAAGTATATGACCTGGTATGAACAATTTCATTTCATCTGTACTACACCCCTACTCTCTAATGCTATGAGGCAAATCCTAGACACCATGTTTGATCTGTACAAATTTCAATATGTATTTTTAAAGAGAAGGACTCCTGTAAAACATTATTGCCACAACTCAAAAAGCTAATTCTTAGTACCAACTCATCAGTCAATGCTCCAGTTTCCCCGCTTATCTTATTCATAAATCTACAACTATATGTGTGTGTGAGTGTATTTATATTAGGATTCAAATAAGTCCCATACACTGTAATTGTCTGATAAGTCTCAAGTCTCTCTTATAACACTGCCAGACTCTGATCTCTCCTTTTATCAAATGTAATTTATTTGCTGACATGACCAGGTTTATCTGTCCCATAGTTTCTCACGGTCAGATTTTGCCACCTGTATTCTGGCTGTCTTACTGAATAGGTTCCTGTTTCCTGTATTTCCTCTAAAGTAGGATTTAATCAAGTAAAGATAGCACAAAAGGTTTGTTTGTCTTAGTTTTAAATGGATGACCATTGCCTAGACCAAGTTATTTTTGTTAGCTGATGTACAATTCATACAGGAGAAACAAGGTCTGTGTTTTAGTTCTTTCTCTTTACTTAGTTTCCAAAATAACATCCTCCAAAAGTGACCAACAAAGATTTTTATGATCAGATTTTAAGGAATAGAATTACATTATGCATTTAAATAAATGAACCTATGGTTTACTGCACTGTCAACATTACTTTTATTGCTGTTCAAATATGGCTTATGGGAGTCCTTCTGAAAATTCAGTCAAATATAGAAAGGAGGAGGATAAAATAAACTCTGGTGGCAGAATAGATGTGGAGGCATCAGCAAGAACTCACAGCTGGGGGAGGGGGTTGTGTGTACCTGCACATACACTTATACATACACGTGCAGATAAGAATTAGATGTAACGTGTCTGTATGTTTTATCAACGACCAGGACTCTTGGATAGCTCCCTTGCTTTCTGATATGAAGTTCTTAAGATATATTTCTTGCCCAGGCCTGGACTCAGACATTTTTCTTTCAAGGAGGCCTAGTTTCTTTTAGTGGGAAATGGTAGTCAGAGTCAATAATTTGGATACTCTAGTGGTATTCACTGCTACTAACTTGGTCTTTGTTTCTAGGTTTATTTAGTAGGCAAAAATAGAAGTATTTGTGGGCGTATAGTACATACAACTATGTATAAATATAAGACAAAATGCACCATGAGGTCATGCTGACATACATTTATTTTTAAAAGAAGTACCATTGTTTTACATCCTTGTTAATATTTTTACAGTATAGGATTTCTCCATAGTGATATTTTAAATTCAAATTTAGGACTACGGGATTTTTACTTTATTATTACAACATCTGTACCTATTTTTAACTATGCTGAAAAGCTCTGTTGTCAACCACCAGTATCATTGCTCATTTGATTTATCCCACGATACATACATCAGTCTCAGAAAAACAATACCATTACAGTCTCCCGCTAACATAATTACTGAAAACAATGCAATAAGATTTTGTTTTCCCCTCTCAGGGTTATACCCCTCTATGTACAGTCAAATTACAGAGCTTTAAATACAAACTTGTAGGTAGGTTTCTTTTTTGCAGCCGTAGGGTTAGTAACCACAGAACGCTTCTGTGTAATATGGGGTTGAGTGAATGAGTAAATGTACCAGGGTCAGGGTTTTTACTTTTGAAGACGGAAGGTACAAATATGGAAAGAAGGAAACCTAGAATAATTCTGTGGCATTAGAAAGGATTTGGAGATATCAGTATTAACGGATGGTTAGGTGTGTGCATGTGTGTATACAAACATATATACAGATATAGAACTTGACTTAAACATGGTTATTTCTGTGTATATGTTTATGTATATACATATGTACATACACATACACGTATAAAACATGTTTTATGCACACACACTGTGTGTGTATTCTTGTCATGTCCACTGAGAGGGCCTAGAAGCAAACGGCATCCCTGTAGCAAGGACTGTTAACTCTCAACTCTTGGTTTCAAAATACCATTCTCCCTAAGACAGAACCAAGGTTAGAGAAATTAGGTTAATTCTAGGACCAGGGAGACAAAGCAGAGGATGAACCTGAAACACATTGTGCCAGAATATAAGGAAATACGCAAAGGATGATGGAAACATACTAAAAAGAACACTTGAAGCTTGAAGAGGCATCTATTGGCTAAGTGTAGGACTGCCTGAACATGAAAATATAGTAATGGAATATGACCCACTGAATAAAAAAAAATAACCCACAAGTCCATACTAACATAAATAAATGGGAGAGAGGAAAAACTTTCCTTATTGCATAATATAACTATAAATACAGAGTGACAGAGAATCATCACTTTGTAGCCATCACAGTGATGAATGATTCAGGCAAAAATAAAATCAGTGGCTGAGGCTCTGATGAGAAACAGAATATTTTACGGCCTCAAAGTATTTCTCTAAAATTACTTATTAATTCCAAAGGGAAAAAGAGCAACTTTTCAGTTGATAAGTCTGGCAGACATCACTGATGAAGATCAAGGTCCACATTATCAGATAAGGACATATGCTTCTCCTGATGTGATATATCAAGAAGGGACATAACACTAAAGGGGTATTGCTAAGTCTGAGTCCAATACATATAAGCACAAATTGAGTGACAGTCTATAAATAATTGGCCTGTATTCTTCAAAAACATCTAACTATGAGAGAAAAAGAAACACTGAAGAACTGATCGGGATTAAGAAGACTAAAGAGATATGAGAAACACAGGTAATGAATGATCCTGGAATGACTCTTAGACTAGGGATCATATCTATAAAGGACATTGAAAGAAATTAAAAAATTTGAATATGGACGATGGGTGGAGACTGTGTTCTAATTTCCTGCTTCTGACAACTGAATTAGTTCTATAAAAGAATGTCCTGGCACTTGGGAAATACACAGTACTCTGAGGACAACTTACCCTCAAATGGTTCAGACCCAAAAATGGTACTTATATTCTCAGAGAGACAGAAGATACAGTTAGGGCAAAAAAAGGCACACTGGGCAAAATGTAAACAGTTCATAAATATGGGTAAAGGGGAATATGGAACTACAAAGTGAAATTATATCAGAATGAAAAAGTAAAAACTATTATATACAGACATGTAAAATAATTTCTCTCTTGGAGTTATGCCATCCATTTGATATATAGCTAGATTTTATAATATCATCCTGTGTTTGAATTTTAGGGATTAATTCTCCCTGCCATTCTCTTCCTGCTCCCCTCCCCACCAATTTAACCATAATGGAGGGGGTGGGAAGAAAGAAAACTAAACCAAGTAACTTTGGAAAATAGTATTTTGATTATATTGTAACACTAATGATAAAAAAAACCCACTATAATCCTGCATATATGCTGATAAATTTATTTTTCACAGAATATGAGTTGGCAGTTCTGAAATTACTGTGTATCAAGGATTAAACAAATGAATAAATACACTATTATGATAATGAGAATCAAGTCCTCTCACAGCCAGAAAAAGGAGTTACAGATAAGGAAAAGGAGAAGACTTTGTGATGTTGGGCTGGCATCAGAAATCTCACTATGGGTGGATACACATGGAATAAATACAGATGTGTGGTATGAGTGTTTACTAGTGTACATACATGTATACTCTGGTTTTGTCTGCTCAGAGACTCTAGAAGCAATAATAAATAACTGGCAGCAATGGACACATAGTCAGACCTTGCTTTCTAAACACCATTCTGAAAATAAAAGAACCAGAGATCTTTGGGGAAATTTGTCAATTCCATGGCTATTGCAGGAAAAATGTAAAATTAACCTGACAATCTGTTGGTACTTTTAAAAAGCAAGCAACTGTTCAAAAGTTGATATGAGATACCAAAAGGATAGAGGAGTAGGCCTGAAGGAACTCCCAATAAGCACATCTGAACAACAAATATGGAGAGCAGTTGATTACAACTCATAAAAATAAAATAAAAATTCATGACCCCATCCCCATACTGACATAAACAAATGGGGGACAAAGGACAGCTGCTCTTTATAACAGAATTTCAATTAATAAATGCAGAAGGAGTGAATGTAATAGAAAGTTACCATAGCCAAATACTGTGGTAATAATTACTGAAGGCAAGAAGCACTGATGGATGTTAAAATTAATGAGCAAAAGTATGATGAGAAACAGTGTATTTACAGAGTCTCAAAACATCTTCTTCCAAAATAGTGATTAATTTTAAGGTAAAAATAGTTGTTTTACAGTGGAGAAGCCCAGCAGACACCATCTCAGCCAAATATTCAAGGTTAATATCCCAACTAAGAAGATGTATCAACACCATGAACCCCCGATATGAGAGGCTAGAACATCACTGTTATATCTTTGCCAAAAATGCATGACCTCACATTTGATCATGACAAAACACGCAAACTGAGGAGTATTCTATAAAACTGCTGGTCAGCACCTTTCAAAGTGTCAAGGTCATAAAGGATAAGACAGGAGCTGTCACAGCTGGAGGAAGCTAAGGAGTCATGACATCTAAAAGAAATGTGAGATCCTGCATGGGCTCCCAGACCAGAAAA